CCTCTTTCCTGTTGCTTCATCTGTCCCATCCCCATGACAAGGTGTTTCTGTGGGTTTCTTTACAAAGGCGTTCACTCGAAACTGGCCTTTTAGGGACACATTGGGTGTTTATTTAATATCGATAGCAGCAACTGACGGGTGTCTTACACAGATCATTACCAGAGATAAACCTACTGGAATTGCTTCACATTGGATTGCGTTATATCTTATCTTTTCTTTTTCTAATGAACCTGAAAGACCCTCATCATTCTATGTGTACAAATGACCTAACTTGAATAGAGCCATAAACTTCACTTAAGTCATTAGAAACTAATTTGCATAAAAATGTCATTATTGGCTTTGCATTAAAAACCCTACACTACCAAACCAAACAAACCTAATTTAAAAAGTGGTTCTTTAAATGAAAAGCAAAGTGACTAGAAACAAAAAATGAAATAAAGGGATGATTAAACTTTGAGAAGTCCCACACCCAAAGCCAGGCTGTAGTAACAGCAAACTTTGCCACCTGTCCTTTCTTTCTTATACATTTTTAATCCCAATAACTACACTTAACATGTTGTAGTCTTATATCTTATATCCTATAACGACTCCAAAACCAAACTGACATAGAGCCAATACTGATTCTCCTTTATAGCTTTTTTCTGCCAGTATGGATGTAAAAAATGGTTTAAAAAGTCTTAAATTGAACCTGTTGACAAATGCAGAAAACCTGATGTATTTGGAAATGCAACCAATATAGACATTACTTATTTTATTATTATTATTTATGTCATAATAATATCACTTATTTTAAGGTTTATCAACTGCTTTGATGGAATAGCATTGGACAAATTAACTTCTGTTTATATATTAATGTTTTATGTACGTGTTTAGAATAAAACACTGACAGATGTAGAATCACATTTTCTATCTAAATCTAAATATTCTATTATCTAAATCTAAATATTCTATTATCTAAAGCTGACACTTAAAATACTGGAAATAGCTACAGCAGGGGGAGGATAAACAGTATACTCTGTATGATCAAGGATATTTAAATTTGTAAGTACCTACATGGGTTGTGAAGACAGCCCTGACATACTGTCACCTTTTTAGTTGATATGGTGAACTTGATAACAAATAATTGCTGTTCTATTTGGCCTTAACAATAATATATCTACTTACTTTGTGGTGTCATATTTAAGATACTGTGGATCTTTAGAGACTCTCCACTCCCACCTTCTTTTTTTTATATATATTTTGTACTTATTTCTCTAGTATAAAATTCATTCTTGCTGCATTATAAGATAATTAAAGGGAGGGAAGGCAGTGTCCAAAGCTTTAGTAATTCATATCATGACACCAATAATAAAACATATGTATGTATATACACACAAATACATTCAAAGCAGATGTGGTCACTGAGGTCCAGACAGCAAGAATAACCCTCACTGACTGATCACACAGTTATTCACTTATTCCATTCATGTTTCCATTTTTACTGCACATACTCAGCACAGAAATCCCCAAGTCATTCAGTGCCAGTTCTCTACTATACTGCAGCACTAACAGTAGACAAGTAAGAAATCAAGATTCAGTCACATTCAAAAGCTGCTTTAAAATTATTTATTTCTGTTTCCATGTACATTTCCAAAAAAAAGAAAAACTCTGCCAGCATTTGAAAAATCCCCCCAAAAAAGCATTTTAAGCTGTAGAAATCATGTAGAAACCCACCTACAATTAGATATCTGAATAAAAACAGGAAATAGTATAGGAGCAGAAACTGTTGGTTTGCTACTTCCTCTTTCGCTCTTCCACATCGTCTTCATCCAGGACTTCAAATCTTCGTTTTTTCGAGAATTCTGGAGGACACTTTATCTTTTTCTGTGGTGTAAAGATTGAGAGGGAAAAAGGGAACAGGGAGACAAAGGACAATGTGTTATTAGACAGAAAATTCATTATATCCTTGTGTAGTTGTTTTAGTGATCAGTTATTCTGTTTGACTGTTCTGTTTTGTTAAATATATACTTTTGAAGTACTAGTCCTTTATTTGAGGACATTATCAGATTATTATGAGAGCACTGCAGCCAATGTAATCCTACAACGTAATCCCTGTGGGCAGTTGCACATCGTCAAAGTACGTCCATTAAAAGTTGGTGTTTTTGCCACTGACCGGCTCAGATTGTAGTTATTGTCTAACAACACAACTCTACAGAGAAATTAAACATTTTCTGTTCCTTTATTGTGGTTTCGGATATAGTTCACTAAACTGTGGTTGTGAGCAAAAGCAGCTTAGTTGGACACACACTGGACACAACCTGTCAGTCTGCAACGTTCCTTAACCTTTTAACTGTAGTGTAATTATGTTGGTTGACTCAGGGTGTGCGCCTGAGCGTATTTTAATGCCTAATTCTTACCGCCTTGATCATTTCTTTCAGCCACGGTACAGTTAGTTTGACACAGAATTGTGTCTTGCTGGTTATAATCCTAGAAACAGGAAACAGACAAATAAAACAATTAGACATTTTAATTTTTACTGATGCTTATTTCTAAAAACACCTCTTGTTAAGTCCCACAGTGACTATTTTGGATTTATTGCTGTATGTTTAAAAACATTTTTATCAAGCATGCTGTACTTACACAAAGGCATGGTGATTGCAGCCGAGTCGCGGTTTCTGCTCGTAACACTTCTCTATGTCATCGATCCGTCTATGTCCAACGCTCTTCTCACAGCTACAGCTTAGTCTTAGGGTGTTCGAATGAACTGCAGGGGGAGGTACACTGAGAATATCAATATAAAAGGCAATACAGATAGTCTTTTTTTAGTTTTCTCTTTATTTATATGGACATGAGGCTGCAGCTTATCTTAAAAAGAGTCAAAATGTCTTCTCTGCCTGTGGTGTAAACTCAGTGATATGCCTCTAGTTTTAAGACAATGTGTTGAACAGGTTTTTTTTAAATAATACATCCAATATGAACAAAACTATAGCAACAACCATACTGCACAAAAAACTAAATAACAGTAAAGTAAAAAGTTGATGGTTGCACAATGGTAAAGCATTAATTATTTATGATGTACAAAAAATTTGAATTAAGACAGTCAGTCAATCGATCCACAGAGAACCAAAATGCAACTATTGTAATAAATTCGATTAAGTGTCCAAGTTTTTTAATTTACTAAAAGACTGTTTAGCTGAAAGCAGACAGAATAATCCCCTAGGTGTTTTTCAGTTGATTACTTAATCTTGGTTAGGGACTGGACTGGTAAGAGGTTATAATTAGGACTTTTATGTCATATGAAGTCAAGAAACTCTACTGGTAAATACTGTTAAATGATAGGTGGTCTTAAAAAAAAAACAACAACTATACCTTCTGATACAGAGAAGAGCATCACCACAGCCAGGGTGAGCAGACAAATCCAGCGACTGACAGAGAGACTCATCTTCAAAATGCTGCACGGCACCAACTGACTCTGAATCTTAGCTGTAAACGGCTTCGTTATTCAACTCGCCACAGTCTAATGATGAGTGAACCAGAAAGGTGTGCTCCTATATACTGCTGCTTCACGCCAAAAAGAGGAACCATTGTTATGTGCAGTGATGAATGCATTGCCTGGGCATGCTCACAGTGGTCAGGATGAGAGAAAAATTGTATGAGGCTGGTTAAAGGGGGTTCAGTTACAGTAGAGAAGTAATGGTTAAAATTTAAAAATCATTCCTTTCCTTTTATGGGGAAGGACTGGTAGCACTGTGCAATATCTCTAACGGATCTTTACATACATCCTGGACACTCTTCTTCTTTTTGTGCAATACTTATATCCACTCTAACGTGCAATATTAACTTAAAGCTGTATTTTGCTAATGTCATTTATCCATGTATAATAACCAATGCCATATTAATCTATATATTTATCTTATATTTATCTTCTATACGTTCTCTAATTTCTCTATTTCTCTAGTATTCTAGCTAAGGAGGTTTACTCTTTACTGTTTAATTACTTCGTCCAAATGAATACTGTTTACCGGGGCCGTGCTGGAAGCACTACCTAGCTGTCAGAGTCACTACAATGCAACTTTGACTCATAATATTCATATTATATTATTTATGTTTGTTTCCGGGGGCCCTTTTATGGCAGATATGCAACTCGAAACATGTGATTTCCACAGATGCAAAATTCTCACTTTTTAATGGTTCGTGCAATTTAAAATGTATATGTTTTATAATGATTTGTTGTCTTCCTTGTGTGTTTTTTATACTTGACTCTCTGAGCAACAACCGCACATGAGTTCCTATGTGTGCAAGCACAAATGGCAAATAAAGTTCTTGAATCTTGAATCTTGAATCTCTAAGTCTAGGTCTAAGTCTAAGTGTTCCTGGATGTCCATATATGTTCTGTTTTTTGTTTATCTCAGATAAGGGTTCATCCTCTTCAGTGGTGATGCTGCTGTTGCTCTGGTTCACTGTTAACACCAACACATTTTTCTAATGTCCACATCCAACCATGAACCGTAATGAGATCATATATGAGAATCATATACGCTAATATGGCCAAAAATAAGTGGACATCTCCTCATACTTTTGTGTTCTTTTGGTTTGTTTTTAATGGTTTGGGTGTCTCATCTGGTTTCAGATTTTAGAACCTGCTGCAGGGATTTGATCCCATTTAGCCACAACAGCATCATTGAGGTCCAATCAGCTGGTGATCAGGTTTTAACTGGTTGGCTAATCAAGTTCTTCCACATTAAACTGGGTGTACCTTTACCAGGTTACCATTTTTATGGAGCTGGCTTGGTGCACTGGGTGATGGTCATGTTGAAACAGGAAAGGGACAAACTGCTGGAGCGTTCAGATTTCCTTTCATTGAAACTAAGAGGCTAAAATCTTAAAAAACAGCCCCAGACAAAAAGTACACAAAAGTATGAGAAGAGGAGATGTCCACATATCATTGGCCAATTGATGCCGTACTGCCAGTCAATGTATGTGTGAAAAACACGAGTCAACTGCATTTAAAATCCATTTAACATAATTTATTCTTTGTTCCAGGTTAAATGCCAAAAACACAACTGTATAATGTTACAGCTTTTTTAAATTGATACAGTATTTTCATATGACATATAAAATGTTCCATATAGCTCCTTTGTCTTGATGTTTTACTTATGCTGCAGCATCTTCATCCAGGACTTCAAATCTGCGTTTATTAATGAAAACTGGCAGAGGACAGGGCAATCCCTGTGGCAGAGGGAGAGAAGAGAGAAAAGGAAACAAGCAATTAGACAGAACGGTTTACTTGTCACTTGTTGATGCCTTTTCAAAAGTACTTTAGGATATTTTAAATAGAGCCTGACTGATATTGGAGTTTTCAGATGGATACCGATTTTAGAGGGAGAAAAATCACTGATTACAGATATGGCGGCTGATATAGTAAATGTTTGAACTTATAATGAAAATAAACCTTTTCAATGTGGAGTGTGAACCAATATGGATATACAAAGGTAATTAGAAGCTTGCTTTTGTAAACAAATAACTTAAAGAATATTTAAGTAAAATATTCATTAAATATGTTAAATAATTTGACATATTTAATGTTGCCATCATCAGGTCAACATTTAATTAGTCCAATACTTCGGTTAATGACCAAATACCTTCAAAACTATTGACATTGCCATTAGCCTCAGCTGTACTTTTATGTTTTATTGTTAATTAACAGATTCTGTCATGCTAAGACACTTAAAGGACCAGTGTGTAGGATTTAGTGGCGTCTAGCAGGGGAGTTGCTCCGGCTAGAGCCAGTTTTGGGTTTGTCTGTTCTGGGCTACTGTAGAAACATGGCTGTTCAACGTGGCAGCATCTGTAGAACAGCTCATTCTAAGAATTCTTATTTTCTGGTTATTATACACCAATGAAAACATACCTATGAACATTATATTTCTGTCAATAGATCCTTCTAAATGATACACACTGGACCTTTAAGGTGGTGAACGTGACAGTCTTCATACCTGCTAAACATTAGCATGTTAACATGAGGATGGTAGCGAGTGCAGCCTCACAGAGAAGCTGCCGTGGCTGTAAGACTCGTTTATTAGCTGATTCTCACCATCTTTTTCTTCTCTTTTATCCAGGGGGACTTTGGTTTGATACAGATCCATTTACCCGACACAGTTTTAACCCTGGAAACAGGAAACAGAAGAATAAAACAATCAGATATTTTCATTACATGAACTTAATTTTGTTGTTATAGTTGGGAATCAAACATATAAATTCAGCCATGCCCCTTTGCAAACAGATTAGAGCCAAATTAAGCTCATGGATCCAGTAGTAGAGTGTATTTGGTCCTGTATAGTATTAACCACAGTGGCCTCTAGAGTCAACACAAGATTAAAGTTAATTTCTTCTTTAAATGAAACTAAAGCTAGATGACATATTTAATTAAGATTTATTTATGTGAACATGTTTGGAGCATGTTGTGCTTACAGGTAGGCGTTGCTGTGGCAGCCCCATCCTGATCGCTGTTCATAACACAGTGTGATTGGCTCATCTGTCTTACGGTGACCTCTGTAACAGCAACTACTAGACTGTATAAATGCATCCGCTGTGACAGACCAACACACACAGAGAAAGAGAGAAATGCTGCCGTTATTCAGGACTAACATTATTTCATTTTTACTCACCAAAAAAGTAAACCTAGCTTAGTCAACAATCAAGTTATAGGTTCTTAAACCAGAAATTTTGAAGAATATTAACTGTAAATAAAGGAAAACATGCAGTAATGATACCAGTCCTTTTTCATCCCTAAGTAGCTTCTTCCACTCAGGCTGCATAATATAGCCTCTACAAGCACCACAAATAATACGTTGCTGAGAGCGCACTGTAACCACCAAAAAGCAACTCAGATCTGTGTTTTTAGACACTTTCAACAACTCCTCCCTTCTTTCCTCTGGATTTTGACACTTGAACAGTATTAAGTTCAAATGTTAACACGTTACTCATTTGCCCATATGTACATTTAAAGAAAGTTAGTGTTTTTAGTCAAATAAAAATCCTCTTTTTCACACAGTGTTTCCTTGCTGAGCTGCAGTAGAGAGAATTTAGCACTAAAGATACAGTAAATTTGGAGGATACCCACTGGATTTTTCTAATTCAAACTGTTGAAGCCACAAATTAACTTTAGTTTTACACAAAACATATTTTGGAAATAGCTTAAATAAATTAACCAAGACAATACCCACATGCAGAGACAATAAGCTTGTCTCAAAATTAAGGTATTTATCACTTTACTAAGGTTTAGCTGTTAAATCAGCAAAAAAAACAAAATAGACCTCAAATGCTATTAAATAATATGTAGTTTGCTTTGTGCATTATTGGATAAAAACAAAAAAACCTCATCTATTAGTTAGCAATTTATCAAAACCCACAAAGAGATATTGTGCCTCATACTTGTTGCAATAAGACATGAGCCGCAATAGTACTCTAGTTAGGCTATTATTACTTACTCTATATTCAAAATGCTGCAGATTTAGTAATGAAGATCTGTACCTTCTGATGGAGAGAAAGGCATCACCACAGCCAGGGTGAGCAGGCATATCCAGCGGAGAGTCATCCACATCTACAAACGCTGCGCAACGGCAAAACTGACTCTGGATCTCAGCTGTAAACGGCTTCCTTACTCAGTTACTAACTCAACGCCCCAAAGTCTAACTCTGAGTGAACCAGAGAGGTGCGGTCTTATAAACTGCAGCTTCACGCAAAAAGAGAAACTCATCACCCCCAGACTCACACACCCAGGAAGGTGGAGTCTGTTGATCATGTCCATATATGTTCAGGTTAGTTGTTTATCTCGTACCAAGGTATCACCAGCATGATGATACACACTGTAAGAGACAATAATGTGTTTTCAGCTTAGTGTAAACAGTTTGTGTTCGTCCCTTTCTGTGTGAAAGAACTCGACTGACCTGACCTCAACCCCATCCAACGCGTTTTTTTCTTATTAGGGACCGAGCACAGTGACAACTGTGAGGTCCCTATTGTTTTTGCTTCGTTTCTTATTTTTAATTAGAGGTGTCTTCTTCTAGCGACTTTGCGGCATTTTTTTTTTGTGAGCCCCTGAACGTATACTTCGCCGTCGAATTTGTTAGGGATTTGGCAAATTTGTCCCGGGCGCCTCCGGTAGAAAATTGTCGTATACTAATGCGCACATGTCAGGTTGGGCCCTAGGAAGGCGCCACACGCCGCGCCGCGCGCTATTTGGAGGCCGATTCGGGGGATGCCTAATAACTCCCGCATCGTTTGTCCCCACTTCAAACACCTTCCATCCACGCGCGCGTTCGGAATGGAAGCTGAACTCCTATATCCCCAAGGCCACACCGCCACTTCCGCCTAAGATTTTTTTTTCAAACAGGCGCAAAACATGTCCAGAAACATACGTTCCTTCGCGTGTCCATCCATCCCCCGACGCGGGTTGGTCGATTCACCAACATTGCATGTCAGACGTCTTGAGAGCTGCTCCTAACACAAAGAAAGTACATTTAAAGTATTTTGATATTTCGAAATAAAAAAGTTATAAACTTACACCTTCTGTTGATCCCCCTTTTTCCCGTCAAAAAAGGAAGTGGACCATATTCTCCACATTGGTATGTCCGATCGATCCCCAAGCGTGGGTCAATAGTTCATCATGTGTTCATCTTTGAGGCATGCGTGCACCAATCTTGAACAACCCTGGGCCCACTGCCACAAGGTGGCGCTCCCTTTCCAAGTTAGAC